GAGTGTAATAAAAACCACTACAGGAGACATTTGTACTTCTGAACATCAAAGGGGATGAAGTCACCGGAGAGACAAATTAATGCCAGCAGCACCTCACACTATTTCTCAGCTGCCTATAGCATACAGTACAGGTAAGCATGAAGTCTTCCCACTCCAAGAAGCTTTAATTGGCCTTAAGTGCTGCAGCATACCTGAGCAGGTGGCTGCAAGTACTTCAGCCTTATCCCATTTTTATTATGAAGCAATAACTATTTTTTTTCTCACACAATACACAGTATCAATGGCAAATATTATCACACAGAGGAAACTTTCCAATTCTTGAAGCCATCTCAATGTTCAAGTCAACTACTTTTTTTTCTTCCTTTCATTGTTATATGAAGTCATATTTAACATGATATTCTGCACATACAGAATCATAGAATCATTTAGGTTGGAAAAGACCTTTAAGATCATCAAGTACAACTGTTAACCTAGAACTGCCAAGTCCACCACTAAACTATGTCCCTAAGCACCACATCTACACATCTTTTAAATACCTCCAGGCATGATGACTCAACCACTTCCCTGGGCAGCCTGTTCCAGTGCTTGATAACCCTTTCAGTCAAGAAATTTTTCCTAATACTCAATCTAAGCCTCCCCTGGCACAACCTGAGGCCATTTCCTCTCATCCTATCACTTGCTACTTGGCAAGCGAGATCGACCCCCACCTGGCTACAACCTCCTTCCAGGTAGTTGTAGAGAGTGAGAAGGTCTCCCCTCAGCCTCCTTTTCTCCAGGGTAAACAACCCCAGTTCCCTCAGCCACTCCTCATAAGACTTGTGTTCTAGACCCTTCACCAGCTTCGTTGCCCTTCTCTGGACATGCTTCAAGCACCTCAATGTCTTTCTCATAGTGAGTGGCCCAAAACTGAACACAGTACTTGAGATGCTGCCTCACCAGTGGCAAGTACAGGGGACAATCAGTTCACTAGTCCTGCTGGCCTTCTGATTTCTATTTCTGATACAAGCCAGGATGCTGTTGGCATTCTTGGCCACCTGGGCACACTGCTGGCTCATATCCAGCCGGCTGTCAACCAACACCTCCAGGTCCTTTTCCATCAGGCTGCTTTCCAGCCAGTCTTCCCAGAACCTGCAGCATTGCATGGGGTTGTTGTGACCCAAGTGCAGGACCCAGCACTGAGCCTTGTTGAACTTCATACAGTTGGCCTCGACCAATCAATCCAGCTTGTCCGTAAATTATCTCATTATCCAGACAGGTTAAATGAGATGTTACTCCAGTTTTATTAAGTTTCAAGCATATTGACAGGCATAATAAATAAAAAACCCCCAACAGTGAATCAATGCAATTTCCTAACAAGAAATCACTAAAGATCAAATCTAAAAGCATTAATACTGCCTAGAACAACAAATTCACAAAAATACTTTACTTCAGAGGATATGTCTAAAAGATTTTTTTTAAATCCCCAAAGGAAAAGCTAGAGACTTTTCAAGTCTGCAACTACAAATATTCTAAGAGTCAAAGACAACTTAAAACTTACCAGAGTTTCTTCTACCCAATCTAGGCAGATTCACCCCAGAATGACCCAACAAATAAAACTTGAAAAGACATACTGCAGCAAAATAGCTCAAAAATATCTCCTCACCTGAGAGCACGGTCTGTGATCTGGTAACATCCAGACAGACTGAGAAACTGAAGAACTCTTGCAGTCTCTTCATCTGTTTTTTCACTCCCAGAGTATGCAGAGTCTTTTTTCTCTGACTGCTTAGTCCTTGGTTTTTTACACAGTGCAGAGGACTCTGGAAGTGCTCGAATAGTTCTTAGTGCTGTCCCAGCACAACAAAATGAGTGACCGCAGTAAATTAAGTCAGTAGAAGCACAGTGCTGCTGCCACCCTCTAGTCCTTAATCCATAAATGTCTCTACCGTAGCAAGATGCAGAACAATTAATATGGGATGTTGGTTCCATAAGACAAAATCCTTCAACATTTCTGTGTCTCCACTCCGCAGCATCTTCAATGTCAGCTAAATCATCTGCATCTAGCATCCACACATATGCAGAACTGAAGTCTTTTGAGCCATCAGGTTTAGTCCAATGCTGCTTACTATCTCCTCCCTCAATGAGGTTTTCATTGTTGATTTCATGCAAACAATTATACTTCTTGCTGGACTGCAGAGTAATCTCTCTGTTTTTCCACAAAGTCTTAGCATTCCTGTTTCTGCAGCTTTTCAGAATACCTCTGTTATGGTGAGTTGATATGATACCCAGTGCTCCGGAAATCCTCTCTATAGCCACATCTGTGATTTTTTCACATCCAGATAGATCAAGGTGGCATAGATTTTGACAACAACCAACTGAAGACCAACTGAAATCAGAGAAAAAAGTAGTTAGTTTGGGGTTATTCTGGGGGTTGAGGGGGAGGGGGGTGTGATCGGTTTTGGGTTGGTTTTTTTTTGGGGGGGGGGTGTTTGGGGGTTTGTTGTTTGGTTGGGGTTTTTTTAATTTTTAGGTTTTGTCAGAAACAGGTATTAAGGCTAAATATAAAAAAAGAACATTTCATAAGTAAAATACTTATATTAATTCACAGAATATTTAAAGAAAATACCCCAGACAGGTTAGATTTGATACTCCAAGTGCTGTATATATGCCTAGAAAAATTACATCTAAAGAAATACGAAATGAATCAATCAGTAACAACCTGTATTTTTTCTATTTACTGAGACTTAGAAGTCCAAATTTGCCATACACTGAACAAATTTTTAAATAGATCAGACTGCAAACACCAGATACGTATGTGACAATGATTTCAAAAAGCAACTTCTGTTGTACATAATGCAGTTACCAAGAGCCATTTCAGTTACTAGACATCACAGTTAACTTCTCAGAAGGCTGAAAAAAGTGAACTTACTGAACTAGCAAATTTCACCCTCCAAAAAATACACCTGAGATGTAACATTCAGCTCAAAGTATTTTAATAGTTGTAATTTCTAGTATTTGAGTTTCTCAATCCTGGATATTTAGACCTATTAAATATCAGTGTACTTAGATCATATATCCTTCTGTCATTTCCCATTTCTTTCAGAGAGAATTGCTGGATTCCTGAAACACATTCTGTATACAGTATTAGTTATTCCATAAAAGTGATTAGGATTGGAGATGGCAATGAAATCAGAGATTTTCATATTAATAAAAACCTCACCCCTTCAGCCTTATCTTTCTCAACTCAAATAGAAATTTGATCTACAGTAATATTGTTACATTATTAGCTTAAGTGAACTTTACCTATCCATAGTTTATGTTAACTTTCATTTACTTTCCATAAGTGATTACTTATATTTACAACAAGCCAAACTCATTTTTTGAGTTACAAATCGAAAATATAGATATATATATAAGGAGCAGCAGATAATGTAAGTTTCACAAGAGATTGACAAAAGCTCACAAAGACTGATTTCTAAGCCACAGAAGTTCCATAAGGCTTTTATTTCAAAACTTCGTGCACAAGCTGCAGAGTGTTGTTACCAGCATCCATGCTGGTAAAATTTTCTGTGTTGTCAAAACGTAGAACTCGAGAGTACTATGTGACATAAGTGTTGAACACCAAAACAGCCACTGAGTTTCGGTACTACAGTAAGACCTACTGGTGCAGGCTCTGCATCTATGCACCATCCCACTGCCATCAATGACATTTCTGCAGGCTTCAGTAAAACTCAGGAATCCACAGTTACTACACCTAAGCCTTAGAGGCTTTAGCCACCATTTGATTAGTGTCTTAAATAGCTGTATTTCTAACACTACCAGCTGCACTAGACCAAGAACTACCATAACTGACTCTGCAAAATCTACAGAACATTTCAAGTTGTTAATAACTCAAACAAAACATAATTATTGTTATGGATAGCTACACATTGTTAGGCAATATATATCCAATAGCAAAGACAGAGCATTTTAAATAGCCATTACAAAGTTATGTGCTTCACTTGCTATTTCATTATTTGTTACTCTGGTTTAGCTCTTAGTTATGCGTGAATCCTGAATGTGATTTCTCTATTTGTCTCTATCAGCAATGGACTAAGACACATTTGAATGTTCTTCTCCCTCAAAAAACTAGAATTACTCTTTTTTTTTTTTAAAAGGAAATAACAATTATCTAACCTTTCAAATGCAGAATCTGAAATATCAGTCTGAGTGAGATCCAAATATTCCAAGTTGGGGCAAAGCTCCAAGATCTGTCTAACCTGGAAAAGGAAAATAATCAGTAGAGACACAAGCCAGTAAGGCTGCACACAGTGTCAAGACACAACATATGAATTAACATGCTCTTGAATTGCAACTCATTTTCACTATCCCAGTGTTTTAAACTCAGGCACATCAGTTATTAATTAGAGGCTGCATAGTCAGTTATTAAACACCAGTTTCAAGTTACATACCATTTTGCTAGATACTGCAGAACTGTAGGCCAATACTAATGTCTTCACTGAGGAGCCAACATGCGGGAGGACATTATGAATTAAGCCATGAAGTAAACGTTTTTCCATTTGTGCTATATTAATGGCAATCGAATCTTCAGGTGCTTCTTCTCCAAAATAAAACCAAAGAGAAAGACTTAAAATATGTTTTGAGTAATTTGAAATTCACATTACCATCTTACATCAAACAAGTTATCAGGGAACTAAAGAAAGTTTACCAAGGCACACAACAAACTTTTGCTGAACTCTAGCTTAACATACTACTAAAGCCTCATCTTTAAAAAACATCTGCTTGTCTTTCTAACAGTCCTGAAGAGTTTAATTCCAACAGCAAGTAAAACCAGTAAGTCTTAACAGAAAATCATCATTAAAGGACTTGGAGAAATATTTACTACAGATTATGTACTGCTCAGGGCAGCTGTTTCCACCAACTTGCTTTATACATTGAAATACCTCACAGAGCATTTCATATCCTGTGACATAACAGCTTAAGACAAATTTTAGATTAAGCCTAGAATGCATTAGGATGCAACATGATTCAGCTTAACTTCCTGAAGAGATGAAACCTAGCTTTTACCTCCTTCCCAACTCCAGACACATCCCCATAACTCCTCTTCTGCCTGCACTCATGTTTGCTTTCTCCTAGATGAATTAATTCAGCTCATTAAAACCAGCTGCCTGCTTCTCCCCCCCTTTCACCTCCTCATTCCCCTTTTTTTTCCACCCAGCTAGGAGTCAGGATGAGATGAGGATGAGGAAAAAGAGCAACCCTTTCCGGAACCTTAAGTAGTTGTTAGACAAAGCTTCCCAAGTTCTTTTTTACAGTATAGGTCTACTTGGCTTAGTAATCATTTAACCTAGACAGAACATAAATATTATTGCAGTTGCAATTTTAATATACTGGAATCAATTATGAAAAAAAATTCTGTATTTTAAACTGATTTTCCAGAAAAGACACTATTTAATACTTTTTTTTTCCCCCCTTATAGCTATGTCATCTTCAGGATAAAAAATAAAATTCACCAAAATCAGATTTACCTACCAGATTCATCTATGTCAGCATCTTCATCCCATTCCTGGAAAGCACGACTTTCATCTTTTCTATTTTTCACCCATTCCTCGTCAGGTTCTGTCTCAAGATCTGCTGCAGGACCACTATACCAATCACCTAATCATTCCCCCCCAAAAAAAGAAGGAAAGGGAAAAAGGAAAGAAAAAAGATATTAAGACAAACTTCTCATCACTGCAGAAAACAGCAACAATAAACTTCTCAGTATACCATGATATGACCAAAAGATGTAAATAAATTTTGCATTCATCTCAACTGAGGTTGGACTGAACCTTGACATAATTTTTGTTTGATCTATATTTTAAAGCTTCAAAAGATTCTTGGAATAGTTTCAATACTGTTACAGAACTCACAGTCTATTACACTATTCTGAGGCATGCCTGTTGTCCTTATTTTCTTGGTAGGGACCAACATGATTGCAAAAATAAAATAAACAATTATGAAATATTTGGACTGTGTAGGTGCTGAAGTACTTCCTGGTAGGTATATTAACCATCAACTTTTAGTATAACACTGGGTTGAAGACATTTCTATTTTCCTCTGCAATCTCACAAACATACAGTCAACTAGGACGTATTTTACTAGTCTGGGTTTAGTCCAAGAAACCCAAGGTCCAGAAGTAGCCTACTTACAACAGCTATTCAATACTCAATTACAGCATATGTAGGACTGAAATCAATAGACAATCATTTTCATAACATCTGGATGAACATGACTATCAGCAACAGCTCCACTGTTTTAGCTGGTAGGGCATCCCCTCTCCCCGAGGGGACCTGGACAGGCATAATTTACTACTACTTTGGGTATACTGTACTGTTGGCTCAGTATAAGCAGGTCTGCTGCCTCTCTCAGCATTGACATGCTTAAAACAGAAACAGCTTATCCTACTACCTCATTAGTGGGGGATCCTACTATCCCCAAAGCAAGAGCAGCCCCTGTTGAATGGTATCTAAAGAACAAGGTTTCTTATGAGCAATACAGTCGCAGTGAAATCCTAATTTATTGTCAACCAATTGTGAAGCAAAAGGTTTTGATAACATTTCTCACGTTCTTTAAGCCATCTCTCTAATATATAAAAAGCCTCAGAAGCCCTCACTGTATTAGAAAAAAAAAGTTCAAAATTTAACTAAGCCTGTAGTTTTATGTTCTTTTTATCCCCTCTGTGCAGAAGTGCTCTCAACTGTGTGGAAGCTTCTCAAATAGGATTTACTGCCAAACAACTGTAGTAGTATAGACAGTACGTCATGATACTAGCTTCCTGTTGTGCCAAAAACAGGTTTACAAAGAAGTCATTTTAAGCAGCTGACAACTATCTTTTTTTGTGTAGCACTGAATTATCATGACAACTAGGTTTCAGTTTAAAAAGAAAATTTAGCAGTTTAAACTCTGAAACCTCTCCTTTCCACTCCATCTTTTGCAGCTCAGGGACCAATCTATTATTTTCAGTAAGATTTATGCAACCAAAAAAAATTAATTCAGACCCAAAAGTCAGATTTTAGAAGCCATAAAGGTCTGGTCAGAAAGTTTTTAGCTTTTATGTATCTCTAAATTTAAAGTTATATATTGTCAGATTTCTCTTAATATCTTAAAGGCACATAAAATACAGCACAGATGGTCTCCTTTCTACTCAACTACACTGACTGCAATTGTGAAGCCTGCTATGCCATAGTCAAGTTGTTTAATACTCACATAAATATGGACAAATACAAACAGAAATATTTAAAGCTACAAGTATACTCTGGTAACTTGTAACTGGTCTCATTGTAATACAGGGTATTTTGTCTATTTGAACAGGTACTTTTGTAAAGGTTACACTTCTCAATAGGAAATTTTAATTGACAGGAGAGATTGAGGAACAGAAGTAAAAAAAAAAATAGCCCTTACTGCAGTAGAAGTTATTGAAGTATTATATCTAAAGAATCAATACTAAAACCAACATTCATACAGTTTTCTTTGAAGTTTGAATACAAAAAGAATAGACTGTGAGGAAATGTTAAAACTCCATTTGTTTTAAACTTCCATTCCACAGTTGTCTGAATCACAAGACAGACCTCTCAGAGGAGACCATACTAGTCAGGAGCTAACAAAAATAGATATATTTTATTTCTAACTAGTAATTTAATGAAATATTACTAAATCCCTTAGATTCTTAAATTATAATTAAGATGTTGTATTAGTGAATATACTTGTTAGCATTCATACAAGCAAACAAACCTCAGTAAGACTAATCAACAGGTTGTATACAAGAGCTACCCATGAGTTACAACTAAGACAACATTTAGTTTCTTAATTCTACAAGATGGAAGCACATTTCAGGGATTTTTAATATTTAACCAAGCACTATCCTTGCCAGAAGCATGCTCAGCTGTCAGGTTCATTGTACATAACAGCCTATACTAGAACGTTCTCTTCTATAGACTCAGAAATTCTGATAATTGACATGCTTTCAAAGGAAGAATTAATTTTAACTTACCTCTGGCCCAACGAACAGGGTAAAGATGTTTCCAGAGAGATCCAGTTTTAGCCAATTGTGACCATTCAGTGCTTACTTGACTACACTGACATAACTCTTGGGGGTTAAGGTAACTGAAAATGGTCAGCATTACTTCAGGAGGAAGATTAGTAATATTTGCGGTGTGCCCTGTTACTTCAGTTTCTGAAATACAGAAAGTGTGTGTTAAATGAAGCACAGCCTCACAGCTTAAAGAACAGTGGAACTCACATTTTGACAAGGGCAATGAAAAAAATAGTTTCTAAAAAGTTTTAAACAATTGTTTAGCAAAGGAGTTATAAAAAGCAGGTATTGCTTTGGCTTTAAAAAGCTTTCACTGTAATACTACCTTAAAAAAAAGTCAGCTCGGTTTTCTGTTTGCCATTTTTTTCAAATTCCTAGTTTTTTCCAACCCTGACAACCCCCCGCCCCAGAGGTCCAAAAACGCCCTGGACAAAAAGTAAACTGCTGCTACTCAACCACAGCAAGATGAAAGCAGTATCTGCTATAAGTGAAATACTTTTGAAAATACCTTATGTCAGAGATGATATATATACACCTGCTTTGCCACATTCTCAGGAAACAGTATTATCACAGAGAATCTACCCACTGGGACCACTCTCAGTGAAAGCGCTCAACCTCTTGACTGGGACACAGCAAGAAGTCCACGCTTAACTCTTTGCAGCTGTTTTGTATTTTTTTCTAGTTTTAACTGCTAGCATAGAAAATTAATTTTAACTTCTGAATGGTGACAAGCTATTCAGGTTGGAAGGTAATACAAAATATTACGGTTAGAAGCTGAAATATGACCACTGGAATACTTCAATGGACAGCAGTAGGAACTATCCCAAATAGCCCTCCCTTACTGCCATAGTACATAGTTTTCAGGAGGCCTTAGAAATAGCAGGGATTTAAAGTTAGGACACAAAGTACATAAGATTTTATAGTGAGACAAGGATCAAGTTTATTTTTGACAAAAAGCTTCAAAAGTGAACTTAATGTAAACTTTACCCTGTGATAATCTATTGCTACTTCAAAAAATATAATTAAATACAGTTTCACTTGATAAATCAATATATTTATTTGTATACCTGGCAAGTTGCTGCAGGTAAACTACAGACAATTTCACACTAAAATGCAGTTAAAACTGCACAAGAATGCAAGTTGATTTATCTTCTTCCATTTTTAAAAAAAATGGACACAGGACACATACTTTCTTCTCCCTAAAGTCTAGAACACAACCATTGCAGAATTACTACTGTCCCAAAATTGCTGTTCCGGCTAGACAACAGCAAGTAATGCCATACGGCTACTTCTGTCACATTCATCTGTTCAGACTCAATAGTATTTCACACCATGGACCATGATCTTTTCTGAAGGTTTCACCTGAGGGCAGAAAATGACCAGTTCAATAGTTCAGAGAAGCCAAGTTTCATCAAAAAAGTCTGATTACAGAGTAGTTTTTCAAGTTTTTCTAATGAGAGCACCACATCTTATCAACACCACCAAGTCAGATCATGAGTGCTTGCTCTACTCAGTCTCACACTTTTGGTACATTCAATTCCCCTTCTTTGGGCCATCAACTCTTGTTACTTGAGTGAAAACTGCAAACACAGACAACTTAGGCTGCTTTGACAGTCATAAAACAAACCTGAAGTGCACTTTAGTAGTTATCCATTTAATATGTTTCATCAGGAAAAGTAGTTACAGATGAACGCAAATTAAACATCCACTTTCAGAACACACGTTCCACCTGACTACTCACATGCTGCACAGATTCATTCCCTTGCATCAATTCACACACAGTTGTTCCTTCCCGATTCCCAAGAGGCCCAGGGAAATTAGATAGTGGAGCTGGGGAAGGTGAGTTGCTTTTAATTTGAAATATTGTCAGTTGGCTAACTATTCTGTGTTATTAAACCATCAACAGAAAAGCTTACAAAACAGTCCTGAAACCCAAGAATCAAATTGCAGGATCTGCAAATAGAGATTATAATTTCAATGGAAGTATGAAATTAGAAGTTAATTATAATTTCTGCCTATTTATTATATCAAATATTAGCACAGGAGGGAAGGGAGAGGAAGAAAGTTGAGAACAGGTAAACAGTGAAGTACTATCTACATTACAACCTGCCAAGAAGCCTGTATCAAGCAGCAAAGTTGCTCAAGTTTCAAAGCTGCTTTGAAGAAATTCCCATTTTATAAAAACTATTTTATCTGCCAGTATGTAACTTGAGGTATGCCACTGGTGTGGCTTTTCAAATAAAAATTGCAGTTTGAAAATTACTTCAACTGTAATTACATGATTCACCTTGATCTGCCTTCTCATCCACAGAATACTTAAAGACCTTCTGAAGCTCTTCTGCTTGATTCCACTTACTAAGACCTCTGAATTCAGCAGCCTCCTTCTGTGAGCAGTGCTGTGCAATTACTTTCTTCTTAATATCTTTCAATTCTTCATAAGTAAAGTATTCCATCAACATTGGCTGAAAAACCTAAAGCAAAAGAAAAAGAAAAAAAAAATCTGGTGCTGACAGTGATACATTGGTAACGCTACACAGACCTACCAACACAGCATTTCCTGTTTCAAATTCTCTCCAAGTTAAACAATGTCATACATTAAGTGAACCTAAGGACAGGACCACAGAAGTTTTGAGTTCCAACTCTCTGTTTGCCAATGGATCACTGCATAGTCTCAGGAAAGCTGTTTAACTGTTTTCCCAACAGAAAGGGGAAGTGATTAAAGTTGCTTAAGCTATGTAACTTATCGAAGTATTTACACTGAAGGCAAAGTGGCAAGGTAGAAAAACATGAGAAAAGATTTCTCTTGGACACACTTCGGAAGATTTATTCTCTGCTAAGCTCCTAAGGATGCTTCCCAGTTTTTGGATACCCATAAATCATCAGACTGGCAGAACTAGTCTATGTTTGAAATATAGGTCAGAGGCTGTTTGGGAGTGTCAGTTTGAGTCATGAAGCACTGGTTTACAGGACTTCGTTTAAGTTTTCCTACACATCCCCTTAAATAACTACCTGCTACAAACAAATCCCAGCCCCAGTGGACTTTTGATACCAATTTTTTAAAGGACCAAAATTTCATCATAAATTTGATACATTCACTGTTTCGGAATGTGTCGCTTTGTGGTCAGAGAACAGAACAATGACATCACAGTTCTGAATGCAAATTGGCATAGCAATAAAAACAGAACTGTGAAAAATCTGAACCTCTAAGCCCTTTGCCTCTATTCAGTCATTCCAAAACCCAAGGAAGATCAGCATAATATTTGAGGAAGATTTTTACCTACCTCCTCTTCCTCTTTCATATGAGGAAGGAAATCCCTGGTAAAGGCTTCCAGTCTCTCCTTCAGCTGTTTCGCATAGTTTAGCTGTTCATATTCATTCTGAGAAGAAAGCAAAGATTTAACTATTATCTAGTCTTGCCCATTTATTCAAGGGTTGAACTGTTAAATAAAGTGTTTCAAAGCCCATTATGCCTTCCCCATGCATTCAGCATGTTTGCTCTATTTCATTGTACGAATATGTTCACTTAGGAGTTTCATGAGAAGCTGACAGTCTGTATTGGCCTGTTACTAGGCAGAACAATATATTCCCTTCCTGCCTGATTCCAATTTATTTTATTAGGTATGAATTAACTTGTCTAATCACATTTTTACTTTAGCGTAAAGACTGAAGTCTGCCAATCTACAGTCTCACCCAAAGTTCAAAGTAGTAACAGACTAAGCGTTTGCACATTTTACATAAGAATTATTCTAGGGCACAGCAGTTCCACTTCATCTTTTAAGTGCATACATTTTGTATTAGTTATTCTACAATTCTAGCTTCCAAATTATAATCAGAATTTATAGTCAGACGTATTGTATGGGTATTTACTTCGGAAATAGAAAGAAATCTTAAATAAAGATGTAACTGACTTTTAAATGTTAAAGTTAGACCAACCTCATCTATCAACTTGTTACCTTGTTCTCTGTGCCAGTAATAAGAAGCTGGTTCTGAAGTCTGCCCAGTAATTACAACATACTGAAGTTCCTCATAGCTCTTACAGTAAATGTTGAAAGTTTTTCTGTTCAAACTTCTACAACATCAAGAAATCCCGACTATTACAGAAAAAAAGCTTAAGCCATCAGTTTAAATTAAAGTAACCAGAATCTCAGAAAGAGTTAAACAGTTAATGCTAAAGAGAGATAGAGAAATGTGCTTTTCTACACTTAAGTAACAGAATAACATCAGCATCCCATCAAAGAAGGTATAGAACAAAGCCAAGTGTTAAAATTTCCCCTCTCCTTCACTTCCCTTCATTTTCTGATTCATTAATGGAAGCAACTTCAGACAAATTTTAAGGTTGGATATGCACAGGGAAGAATTATTTGCAGGATTCCCAGGTTAAAACCAGCCTTAGATAGTAAAATAAAATCAATCAACTGCGTGTTTAGTATTTTTCTTACTGAAAATATGTGTAGTTGAAATGTAATACGGCATGAAAAATTATTACTGGAGACTACAGAGTGCAACAAGTGGGAGTTGAGTTGGGTACCCCAGAGGAAAGACAGAGCAGAATTCAAGTAGGATTCTACTGGAGAAGAATTTAACAGCTTTAAGTTGTGAAAAAGCCAGCTGGAAAAACAACAATTTAGAATTTCTTGAGGACTGGAACATTAACAGCATTATCGACCAACTGATTACTGGAAAGAGTACATGACTCGCTAACAGAATAAGACAATGCTTCCCCCCCCCTTTTTTTTTTTTTTAAGTCCAGTAATCATCTCCATTTGCGACAAAAATACAATGCTATGTGCCACAAAAAAAAAACATACTTAGGGTTTCCTAACCAACTAATAAAAAACATTATTTCTATAATCAGAAACCATTTTGAACAATTAGCAGAGTAGTCTTTGTATTTCCATGTTGTCTCTCCAAAACACCTCCCATTATGAAGTGATGGATTTCTGTCACAAAATACACCTCTGAAAATAACTTTTACTAGAAGTTTAGTAACTGTGATGAACAGCAAAAGAATTTGTGTTTCAGACTGGAAAGTTTTCACTACTGTATCAAGAAACCACAAGTGTTTCTTCTTCCTCCTTAGTTTATTTGTAGAGAGTACTAAGAAAAGTTGAGGCAAATTAATACATAATCACAGCATGTTTTCCTTTGGACACAAGTCCTTCTTATAGTCTACTTACCTTTACATTCTTTAACCCTTTCTCAAAGAGGCTAAGCATCTCTGAGAGTTTGTTGTCCGAGTGCACGTTGTACACTGTCCGGCTACGTTGCTGAAGTAAACCAATGATACACTCATTTTCAATCTGCTCATGCATTTTAAATTCCTTGAATGTGGCATAAAGAGATTGCAGAAGAGCCCGAAAATCATTGTTGTTGGAGAAGTTGGTCTTGGAAAGCTAGAAGAAAGAAAAGGTCATTAAAAAAATCAACGAAAATCATGTCAAGGCCAAGTTAAATCCTTAAAACAGGTATTAGGCTCCTGTTGTTCATTGCTCCCATTACTTAAAAAAGTTGAAAACCTTCAGTTTCATAAAGAAAACTGGCAAAAATAAAAATTGAATTTGCAATTTGAGCAACTCACTTGAAAGGCATCAAAAATTAGAGTAATGAATGCTTTTCATTCCAATCTTCAAGCTAATAGATAAAAATCAGAGATTCAAGTGCACAGATAGGAATATACAAACTAGCCTTCCATTTGAATAGTAACTTTTCTGTAATTTAACTGGTGCATTAAAATATAATTTAATAAAATTTCTTCCAGAAGTGGACAGAATTAATATTGGCATTTGAAGACTACTGATTAACAAACATTTATATAATATCCCTATCAGTATCACTTTTGAAAATATTCAGAATTCATAATTATTTTAACCTTAATGACTTGCCATTTGATTTTTATTTAACAGGAACTGACAGAAATTCTATATTAAACCCTCAAGCTTGTTTTAAAACTTTCAAAAACTCATTATGCATGGTCATTTCATGTATGTTTCCTCTTACAGTTCATTAAAACAGTACACCATTCACACTGCAATTCTGTTAACTCCCCAAAATAAGCTAAGGAAACACTTTTACAAGTCTTGTGTTTTGTGAATGATGTTTAAGTAAACTAAGGTATTTAATTGCACTATTCTTCGATTTCCCGTGGCAACTATGCAACTGTATTTCCCATCACAGGCTCTGAAGGAAAAAAAAAAATGAAGCCATAAGTTTTGGAAATATTACAAGGAACTAATATAACTACAGAAGTTACACAAAGCATAACATATGCAATAACATACATTGTAAAGAAAAGGACGTTACATTTAATCACACAAATTCTGAAGGCAACTGTCTCATTCCACATGAATGAACAGAGCTTAAGAAAATAGCGAAGCAGTATGATAACTCTTTTAAAAGAAAAATCATCCTTGAGAGAACAATGCAGTTATAGCATTAGGTTAAGAATTAAAGCATTAGCTTTAAGAATAGCTCAGGTTGCCCAGAGAGCTTGTGGATGCCCCCCCCTCCCTGGAAGCATTTAAGGTCCGGTTGGATGGGGCTTTGGGCAACCTGGTCTAGTACAGGGTGTCCCTGCCCATGGCAGGGGGGTTGGAAAGAGATGATCTTAAAGGTCCCTTCCGATCCAAATCATTCTATGATAAGAAACCAGTAAAATCAAAGTTGTATTTAAGGAACATAAACCAATCTTGTGAAACCTTGAGATAAACAAATGTAGAAAGATTTCCTGGTAGAAATCAGTGCAATCTCCCCAGCCTGGCAGGCAGCTGAAAGGCTCAGCTGTTTTCCCAGATCTACATTTCAGCCCTTACTAAACAGTCATTGTCACAGGCCCCTCAGCGTACCTTTAAGGAGACGTTATTCACAAGGAACACAAGTCCTACCAAGTGAATGCAAACTATACTAACTGTTGAACAAGGTTTCCAATAGACAGAGAACCAACAAATCAAGACGCAGAAAGTTCTAGATAATAAGGTAGTGCTGTTTTTACATGCATACAAACAGTCACCATTAGGAACAATAAATTTTAAAAACTGCATTTTCCTCTAGTGGATGTAGAAAAACAGTAATTTTTCCATTATGTTTTATTCCACACAGCTTCAAAAATCATAGCCTCCAGGAGTATACAAGAGCAAGCATTCTAAAAATATTTTAATTAAAATTAAATTTAAAAAAGCGACTGGAGTATTCAGAAGTGGTTTAGTTTACAAAGACTCTGGAATCTAAGGGGTTTACTAGAAATGGCAATCTGAGACATATGTTCATACATAATACTTACACCAAAAATAACCATAAATTGAGATATCTGGAATTTCTGTCATTTAAAAAAAAAAACAAACACAAACCACCACTTACCATTCTGACATTGCATTGCCACTTCCTGGCAACCACTAGCAATGCAACCGAAACACACTGGACATCTGCCAAGTACTTACGCAACTCCAAGTCAGCTGTGCGTACTGTATGTTACATGCTGTACATACAAGCAAAATGACTGCCATTATGGAAAAAAACATTTACTTAGCCTCAGCGGAGACAGAAAAATATGGCAAAGTTAAGGGCTACGTTTTTTCTCCCCCAGTATCTTTTAAATCAACTACTGAAAAAATTCATGTGTTTGCAATGCACTGCGTTAGGATTTGAGGCATATGTTAGTACATACATATTGTGAACGGGAAGAGATCTTGGCTCCAAGTGCTATGCTCGGAGAATTCAATATACAGAACAGCAGTACCTGATCAAACTACAGGCTAGACTTTCCACACTGGAAAGCAGAAGTGTGAACAAGCACAGGAGACGGGCACAGGAACACCTCTTCAGGATAGCCTCCTCACCTCCAGCCACTTGCAATTCAGCCCTCAGTAATAGTGAGGTCTGGTTTCTAATGTAGCATTTCTCATCAAGGACTGTCTCAAAATTGTTCATTCTACCCGTAAGTATCCAAAATACCTGAAGTCAGATCCCAAAGACCTTTTCCCCCCAAGAATCCCATATGCTCCCAAATACTTGGCATTTTGATTGACAAAAGTGTAAACAAGACTGCTGAAGTAACAGGAAGGTTAGAGAAAACTTTTATAGTTTGCTGTTGGATTAAAAAAAAAAAAAATCACAAAATTGGTTCTGATACAAAATAGCATCTTCTCATCCTCCTGACTCAAAAATCTTTTCAGGACTCAAACTTCTGTTGAACCTATTATCATCCACAAATCTGAAATAAATACAGAATTCATTCATGCGTCCAATTTAAGAATTCCTGTTATAAGTGTATTGTTATAGAAGCCACTGTAACATGAAATGCTTGCATATTTACCTCTCCTACTGAGGCTTCCAGCAGATATCCAAGAGATTAGGAACTATGGAGGGGATATTGAAGTTTAATGACTGTACTTGAATCGGCAATCGGTACATTAAAAAGGTCAGTCAAAGCTGAGGAAAGCTGGCTTTTCAGAGGACAGGTAGCCTAGCAACAAAATCACTCGGTCAGATCTGTAATTTCATTACTAGGACTGATGAAGTCTTATGACAGGGGACCAAGACTATTAACAGACAGCAGCTGCTCCACTCCGAGGTCCACTTTTCACCAGCTCTACACAAGGAAAACCAGTGCAGGAGTTTAGTAGCACAAAAGGAAACCACTACTCCCAAAACCTGGACAGAGAATCCCAAGAGAATGGCATGGGAGAAGAAATGGATTGTATTAAGGATATTTGCTGACTTGTCAAAAATATAAAGCACAGCGCATGTGTGATCCCCGAGCAGGCTTAAAACACACCACACTAAATAGATTATCACAGCCACGGGTGTTAGAGATACCTGGGAGCTTTTTCGACTTTTGAAAGCATTGCATTTAAACGATTACAAGTTACAGCACAAATGCTTTTGTGTTTGGAATGCAAACTCAGATTGAGGAGCGGTACCACAATAGAAACAGTCATGGTACCTCCTGAAGATTCATGAAATTTAAGAATTCTACATAATCCAAATAGCCTGAGCAACAGGCCAACCAACAGTCAATCGCATTGCAAATTCTGTTTTAAACACTTCAGAGACCTTTGGCTGATGCAGGCATACTCTAAAAGTAGCCAGGAGCTGTTAAACTCAGTATTAACTTTATTTCGCCACATATCAACTTTATTTCATGTAAACTAGGGAAGGCAAATCAATAATCCAAGGGCTGCTGTGGTGCCAGCAGTGAAGTAAAGCACAAAGTCACAAAATGTACCAAAGCTGTTCCAAGTAACAACATGACAAGGGGATAGTCACGCTAACATAAGACTGCTGTTTTCCTCTGAAGTTCTTCATACTTATCTGATAAATTTAGGAGTTTTACCATATAAAATACTTAAAATCATGACTGAAATAAAAATTGGAAATATTGATTTTTTTCATCAGGGTTGAAAGCAATGTGTAAACTAATATTAGGATTATTAAGAAGTAGATCTTAGAAATTTTCTGCCATTGATTCAAGATTGGGTAGTTCCATCCTTCCTCTGCAGGAAAAAAATAGTAACTCTGAATTAAGATCACTTGATGGACATCTTTTTTAAACCTCAAGTTGCACAATTAAAGAATAGCTATGCTTGAAAAATCCTTGTGGCTCAATCATATACCAGTTTTAGGTGAGTGCCCAACTCCACTGGACTACAATAGAGCCATTAACATGGTCAAAATGCACATAGAGAGGTGTAGCAAACACACACCCTTCCTTACTGTAAGCTATTATTTCATTTTTGTGCTTCAAAAACAAGACAACAGCACCAGCAAGATTAACAGTAATTGCTATTTATACCATGCTTCATGTTCACGACACTCAACTGAAGGTAGATACACATTCAACTCTTGCATCTCCTTTGTGGCTTTAGTGCTTTCATGGAAAAAATGAAACTTTCTGTCAGATAGAGACAGAGATATTTCTATCCAAAATGTTATGAACAAATAAGACAACTCAAGGCTGCTAATTAAATCACCAAAACACAGTATTACTTGGTTTCTGGAAGTGTTTTACACATGCGCCAATATGGAAAAATGTCTTCCTAGAAGAAGAAAATTAATTTTCCAGAAACATTAGTTTTCAGTGAGTAAATTGAAACAGTTATTTCATAATATCTAAGCCAAAAACGCATGTAATGAGTGGAAAGGTTTGCTTTTTCCTTACAAATATCCAAGCATACTATTATCCAGCAAGGAGAAAGCAGCAAACAGGAATAACGAAAAAGTCCACTGCTCTTATCAGACTAGCACAGCAGTAAGTAAAGCCTATGCTGTGTGCTAACTCTCCCAGTTACAAATATATCTCTACTCCCAGCTACAAGCTGGAAAACAACAAAAATATACGGAAAGAGAACAGGAAAGAGAAAACTGATTTTTTCCACTCTGCCCAAAGACTTCACAA